TATGCTTAAACAGCCAGATCCTTCTGCGTCAGGTTCTGAATACCCAAGTGGTGAACAGGTGGCTCCGCCCCTATCCCAGCTGAGCTCCTCCCTATCCAATCCTGCCCTGTACCTTGAGGGCAAGGAGAGGTGGCAACAAGTGGAGGAGAAAGCCAAGTAGAAAGACAAAAATAGGAAAAGCAGGTGACAAGGAAACAAAGTTCTAAAAAAGCATTAAAATTGTAAGAACGGGTGAGGCAGGAGTAATAAAAGTAGAAAGAACGAGTCATAGTGAAAAGGTAAACAGAGCTGCAAGAAATGGAACAGAAAAGGGGAGAGAAAAATAGGGAAGGGAGGTTTGCTTAAAACTTGCCCCTTTTTATATACAGAAGCCTGTGATGACAATAAAACAATTAAAAAATAAAAAATAAAAATAAATACCATTGGACTTTAAGCAATAAAACAATTAAAAAATAAAAATAAATAAAAATAGAAGCCTGTGATGAGAAATATACACTGGACTGGATATTCACTCAAGCAATAAAGTTTTAGTAATACCAAGAAAAAGCTGTGGAGAGGAGAGGTTATTAATATCTCATATTTATTTAATACTAACACCTTCAATATTCTATACCAAAAATCCCCACCAGAAATATCATTATATCATTAAATTACATGAATAATTTAATATACTTACGTTTATCAACTTTGTGTAAAGCATTGTGTTATGGACGATACAAAGACAAGATACAGACCCATACTTGCAGAAGTTTATAATATAGTAGGAAAAACAGCTTGAATACCAAAAACCTTAAATTATCTGCACACAAAATCATATATACTGATTGGCATATGAGCAGTATTTGTAAGAACTGGTAAAATTTGGACAAAAATTGGAGGCAGAAGGAAGAACATTTATTCCATACTTTTATACATTCTATGAATATTTACTTATAACATAAATTAGATCATTTGCTTGGCTTGAGTAATTTAAATATATGACATGTATTCATATGAGGTTAAGAATATAGTATGGAGTAGAAGACGAGACATTGTTAAGTGGAGGTAGGCTGTAATCACTTTGTTTATTATTATTAGATAAATAAATTAGATAAATTATTAGATAAATAAATAAAAATACCAGTAAATTTCTGGGTCAGAAATCCCTATTATAGGTTTTAGGGAGCGTTTTGCGGCTTCTAATCACATATCTATGTAATAAGGGTGAGGGGACTAATGACAGTCTCACCAAGTGATAAAGGAATGCTTTTGAACAAAGGACTCTTGTCTCAGTCAAGAACAAATCTCAGATTGTTCCAAGAACAGCCATGCGAAATTAGCCTGCTGCTCTCGATAGGACTTTCTATTTTGGCATCTCTTCTAAAATGCCTATGTCACCAGCCAACATGTGGGGACTTACTTTTCCATTTTTCTCTCTAAATTAGTCCCCTGCCTTCTGTATATTCAGCACTATCTTCCTTTGAAACGTCTCTGGAAAAATAATCTTCCCATCCTCTTTTTCTACAAGGGTTAATCAAGCCCAAATGATAAAGTGAGTAATATTTATTTTCAGTTTTCTTTTCTCCTTTTTAAAAAAATTTTTTTTATATATATATATATTATTGATTTTTTACAGAGAGGAAGGGAGAGAGATAGAGAGTTAGAAACATCGATGAGAGAGAAACATCGATCAGCTGCCTCCTGCACATCTACTGGGGATGTGCCCGCAACCCAGGCACATGCGCCTGACTGGAATCGAACCCGGGACCTTTCAGTCCACAGGCCGACGCTCTATCCACTGAGCCAAACCAGTTTCGGCTCTCCTTATTTTAAAAATTTTACTTGAGAGAGGAAGGGGGAAGGGAGAGAGGGATGGAAGGAGGGCAAGAAGGAGAGAGGTAAGGAGGGAGAGAGGGGGGAGGGAGAGGGGAGAGAGAGAGAGAGACACATAAATATGAGAAACATCCGTAGATGCCCCAATTTGGGATTGAACCTACAACCTAGGCATGTGTCCTGACCAGAAATGGAACCTACTACGGGATAAAGTAGGGGTACGGATGATGCTCCACCTAACTGAGCCACAAAGGCCAGGACTCTTCTGTTTTTACTTCTTTAGCGAGCTCAAGCACACCCCAGTTCTCAACATAATGGGCCACGCTATATTACATATCAATTTAACAGATATTCATTAAACTTCTACCATGAGCAAGTTAATGCAGTGGTTAAAAAGTCAAGAAAACACCTACCTAGTAAAATTTTTTTATTTAAGCAAAAATACTCAAGGAAGATTTTTTTTAGTAATAATAACTACCAATTATTGATTGCTTTCTATGTGTAAGGCTCTATACTAAGCATTTTAATCCTCACCACAACCTTTGAGATAAGCAGTATTATCCCCATTTTATAGATAAAGAAACCAAGGCTTAAAGAAGTTAAGTCACTTTCCTGTGGTTACAGAGTTATCAAGTAGTAATTCAAATTCAGTCAGTCTGACATCTCACTCTTAACACCTACAGTATTCTAACAGGAAACTGATTAATGGGAGGAAAGGGAAAGATAATTTTAAAAAGTAACATGACATCAAGAGAGCTCTTTTATTAAGCAATTACTTCTTAGATATGACAACAAAAGCATAGGCAACAAAAGAAAAAAATAGATATATTGGTCTTCAAAATTAAAAACTTTTGTGCTTCAAAGGACACCCTCAAAAAAAAAAAAAAAGAAAGAAAGAAAAGGCAACCTAACAGAATGAGAGAAAATATTTGTAAACCATATATTTGATAAGGGACTTGTATATAGAATATACAAGGAATTCTAACAACTCAATAATAAAAATACAACCTAACTTTAAAATAAGCAAACGTTTTAGAAATTTCTCCCAAAAATACACAAATCAGATCTGGCCAGTTTTGCTCAGTAGTTAAAGCATTGGCCCTCGAACCAAAGGGTCTCAGGTTCGATTCCTGGTCAAGCACAGGTACATAGGTTGCAGGTTCCTCAACCCTGGTAGGGGCGCATGTGAGAGGCAACCAATTGATGTGTCGCTCTCCTGCAGATGTTTCTCCCTCGCTTTCCCTCCTCCTTCACTTCCACTCTTTCTAGTAATCAGTGGGAAAAAATATCCTCAGGTGAGGATTTTTAAAAAATACTAATCACTAATAAGCCCCTGAAAAGATGATCAACATGATAAGGTGTCAGGAAAGTAAAAATTAAAATCACAAAGAGATGCTATTCCACGAGTATTAAGATGGCTATAATTAAAAAGATAGACAATAGCAAGTGTTGATGAAGATGTGGAGAAAAAGGTTGAACCCTCATATATTGCTAGTGGGAATATCATATTTGTAGCCACTTTGTCAGTTTCTCAAATAGTTAAACATATACTAATGACTCAGCTTCTAGATATAAACCCAGTTCTACTCCTAGGTATATTTAGATACAAATGTTCATAACAGTGTTATTCATAAGAGACAAAAAGTAGAAACAACATTAATGTTCATCAACTGATGAAGGAATAAAATGTGGTTTACTCATGCAATGGAATATTATTCAGCAATTAAAAGGAAAGAAATACTGATAACATGATACAACATGGGTGAACCTTAGAAACAGGAGGCTGCCCTAGCTGATTTTGGCTCAGTGGATAGAGCATCTGCCCACAGACTCAAGGGTCCCAAGTTAATTCTGGTGAAGGGCATGTACCTCAGTTTCAGGCTCAATACTGGCCCCAGGTTAGGGTGCATGTAGGAGGCAACCAATCAATGCTTCTCTCTCACATTGATGTTTCTCTCTCCATCTCTCCCCCTCCCTTCCACTGTCTCTAAAAAAATCAATGAGAAAATATTCCCCGGTAAGGATTTTAAAAAACAAACAAAGAAACAAACAAACAAACATTATGTAAGTCAAAGAGACCAGTCACAAAAGACCACATATTGTATGACTGTATTCATACAAAATGTCTAAAATAGACAAATTTATACAGTCAAATAGATTAGTTAGGGCTAGGAAGATAGTTTGGGGAGTGACTGCTAATGCGCACAGGGATTCTTTCTTTCTTTCTTTCTTTCTTTCTTTCTTACAGTCAGAGGGTTTCTTTTTAGGACAACAAAAATATTCTAAAATCATATAGTGGTGATGGCTATACAACTCTATGAATATACTAAAAATTCTTGAAATGTACACTTTAAGGTGAATTATATCATAGGTGAAATATATATATACATATATATACATATACATACATACACACATATATATTATATATATACCCAAGCGATCTTCCGACTGGTAGTATGACACACACTGACCACCAGGGGCAGACACTCAACACAGGAGCTGCTGAGCTACAGTGACCTGGCAGCTGCAGTTCTCGGGTGATGCAGCTGGAACCAGAGAGGAGGGAGCCCAATTCTGGGGTGTATCACCCGAGAACCACCTTCTTGCAATCTGGGACCCCTCAGGGGATGTTGGAGAGCCAGTTTCAGCCTGATCCCCACAGGTCAGGCTGAGAGACCCCACAAGTGCACGAATCTGTGCACTGGGCCTCTAGTATCTCAATAAAGCTGTTGCCAAAAAATGAAGTTTGGGACAAAAACAAGGAAGGAAATGTCCCATTGCTGAAATTCATGGTGTAATGATTAATGGATAACATGTTTCTGTCTTTACTACTGAAAAGAATAATATTGAGATTAAAAAGTGTAAAATAAACATTGCAAGAGGGAACTGAAGAGAAAGATTTTGAGAAAGCACCTGACTGCTCTAAATGAATCCACCACTCCTGGCCTGAACAAATTATACTCCAGCACTTTGATAAAACTTGCAGGTCAACCCAATAAACCATTGAATGAAATCTGAGGGTTCATGTAAAAATGGAAAAACTGCTGCCCTAGCTAGTTTGGCTCAGTGCATCAGCCTACAGGACTAATGCGTCCTGGGTTTGATTCCAGTCAAGGGCACATGGCCAGGTTA